ACAATGGCAGCAAAGCACACTGGACACCCAGGTGCCTTTCGTCTTGCCATCAGCCTTTGTTGCCTCAGTATGACCAGCAGTAACTTAACCTTAAACTGACTTGTTTCTGCTGTAGACTTGCGCATGTTATCATCCCAGCCTGCTTTGGCTCAGATGGGGCTGAGGCTGCCAGAGCACCTGCTTTTTCAACGCAATGAAAAGGCCAAACCAACGTAAACAATCTCATCGTGGCAAAACAAGGTGACAAGGCCTTTCTTAGTCTTGCCAGCAGCCTTTGTTGCCTGTGGCTGAGTGTGGTGACCAGACGTCTCAGACAGCAGCTGCCCTTGACCAGCCTGTGCTGCCGCGGGCTTTTTGAGCACTTTTGCATGTTTGGAGTTGCCTGTCAGTCAGACTGATTCCAGCAGCGCGCTGGGCACAGTGTCAAAAGGCAGGCCTCGAAGTGGAGCAGGACGCTTTGTCCCCTGGCAACTGCAGTGCTCATACAAAACTGCCACCAGGACTCAATGTGAATCACGACCCGGCCTTTGATGGCCTAGCTGATGGCGATGATGAGGATGATGATGAGCCGGAGTCAAGCGACGAGCTGGACGACGAGTCCGCCTGGCACAGGAACTTCTCCTCCAGGACCGCTGCCTTGGTTTCTGCTGCTTCCCGCAGCCCTTTCTCTCGGGTCAGCACCGTCCTGGCCCTCTCCACATGGCGCTCAAGGTTGCGGGATGCCAAGATGTCCTGCTGCTTAATCTTCTGCTCCAGTTGGCACGCCGTCTTCTGGTTGTCAACCAGCCTGCCCTGGAGGTCCACCAGGCCAGCTTGCAGCTGTTTCTGGGCGTGGCGGCTGTCTTCCAGCTGTTTTTCAAGCTGCTTTGCCTTTTGCTGCTCTGCCCACAGCTTTAGCTTTGCTTCCTGTTCTTCTGCCAGCTGTTTTTCTAGCTGCTTTGCCTTTTGTTGTTCTGCCCACAGCTTTTGCTTTGCTTCTCGATCTTTCTGCCTGCGATCATAGCTGGGACCATCATGGCGCGGCATCTGAATCTTACCTTGAAAGTTGCCTGTCACAAACTGTTACCGTTCTGATGGCGATCAGTGATAGGAACGCTCAAGGTGATGCGTCGCAGTGATGCGTGATTCATGGCAGAGTGTGTGCCAGTGTCATGTCTAATATGCCATGCCAAGTGACACTTCAGCAGCTGCAGCCAACGGTTGCTACACACACGCACAGACGCACTCATGCCATGCGCACACACACGCACCAGACTAACTTCCTGACTCAATGTCAACTCAGGTACCAGCTGGTGTCAGTCGGCCACTGCATCAGGTCCGCCTCAGCCCCGCAGCTGGACACACACACAACAGCCGAAAGAAGTGCCCCCAGTGACCCACCCGTAACCTTCACATTGCACAAAGATTGAAAGCTAAACCTGGCCTGTGAGCCGTGCTGGAGTTGTCCGGAGCCTGACAGAGCGTCGTCGGACTGACTGACTCTGAATAGAACAGCAGTCCACAGTTATCATCCTGATGAGGACAGCTCGACAAGTGCCAATAAGGACACATCCAAGTTCCGCAGATGGATGATGGATGAAGGATTGTGACATCTGAGTAATTAATGGGCTGGTGATCTATTCAAGGGATGAGCCAGCAAAATCTCCCAGTTTGTCTTATGCTGAACATTGCAAGTTCTTCTCAGCCCTGAGGCTGGGAACCCAAGACCTGGAAGCCAGGACTTGGAGTCAATGGCTGCCCTGCCTCGCCTGGCCCCCACGATGAGCACCTCAGGCAACAACGCACAGTGCTCAAAGCAGACGCAGATTCGATGTTCAACATCATGATACTATGATAATTGCAAAAGCAAAAGGCGCAAAGCGCAATTGTTGCTCATGATGTCATGGCTGCTGTCGGCACGTCACTTAGCCTCACTCACTCAGGCTTCGTGATTCGATTAGAAGCACTGACGTCGGTCAGCAAAAGCTTCAATTACGGGACCAGCCAGACATTGAATCCATTCCAGAGGAATATTATTCTCAAGAGCGGCCTTCAAGCTTCCCACTAAAGCGATCCCTGAGCGCTGGCTGGTCAAAACTTGTGGCCTTTAGCCACCCTCACGCCCAAGTCCAACCAGTGGACTCGGAAGGCTCGGCATTGCCAGCTGGGTCGCCAGCAGACTTCGAGGCATAGCCACCCTCCGGCTCGGGTTCAGAAGGTTCGGCATCATTGCCAAGACTAAGAAACTGCCAGCCCGTCAGGTTCGGATTCAGCTGAGGAAGGCCAACGATGTGGGCGAAAGCGAACGCTTTCACAGCCTAATTTTCAAAGCTGACGCGCCGCTTGCTGACTAGAAGCATCAGGGCTTTGGAGGCTTTGCAGTGACTCCAAGTAGTAGGCACCAGCCTTGGAGTGTCACTGCTAAGCCCCCTGAATTCAGTCAGCTTAACGCCAACCACATCTGAACTTAATGACGTCAAGCCAAGCAGCGTATGTGAGGCTTCGTGGTGACTGAGGCGCCTCTTCCCAGATTCCATTGGTTCGCAGGATAAACAGGTGCTCATCCGTCGACCATGCCGGCCAGCCGGTGCAATGAAAGTCCTTGATATAGAGATGCCGGCGGTCACCGCTCACTTCCCTGGGCTCTCTGGCAAAAAAAAAGTCTTAAGGACCAAAAAGCGCCCTGACAATCTACTTAAAAAAATCAGGCCGGGTGTCCAGGCTCCGTGCAAGGGCGACCAGGCAATTTGCTTGGCCTTCAAGGTGCGTCGCCTGAAGCAGATCTGGCCACCGTAGGGCTTGCGGGGGTTGTCAGGCACCTGTCGACAATGACATGGCCAATGGCAGCACTGCCAGCATGCAATCTGGAACCACACACTTCAGACATGTATTACTACCTCCAAGGCGCCAGGACGAGCCACTGGTCTGGACGATGGTGCCAGCGGAAAAGGAAGGCAGGGTGGCGGCACGCCATGGCTCTTAAATGCGCTTCGAGGCTGTGGACAGTTGACGCGGCCGTTCCTCTGCCTGTGGAGCTACATGCAAGTAGTGCTGTAGTGGAGCTAAGGCTGTTCGTTCGTGGAGCTACACTGAGTGTCTGAGCCTGCTCGGATGCCTCACACAAGTGCCAAGTGGTCTCATGGCAACCATTTCCTCGACACGAAGGCTGGGGCTAGCGCTCCTTGCTGATGATGGTGATGGTGACATGCAGCCAAAGAAGACTCCTGCAAGATAATTTCAGGAACACACAATGCAAGTGCACATTTGCTGCATTACTCAGGGGCAAGTCAAAACCCTTTGGCAAGCCGAAGGCCAGCAGCCTGGCAAGCAAAGCTGGGCAGGCGCCAGCCGATCCTGCCATGTCAAAGATCGATGTGTGCAGGTGTCAAGCGGAGCGAAGTCTCACACCTTGACAAGTGGATTAAATTAATCATCAGGTGCACATATTTGATTATTGGCCCTGAGTCTCAGGTGCAGCAACCACAATCAAGTTGGAGAGCCAACAATTGTCCTGAAGCCCTTTTCAGCACAAGGCCAAGACAACATCAAAGCAAGTCGGAAGTGCGACTTGCAGTAAACTCAAGCCTGCCTTGAACTTGGACAAGTCCGACCCCATTGGCCACCTCATTCAGCCACTGCTGAGTTGAGTTAACAGCCAACGCTCGGCTCAAGATAAGGGCCAGACTCAGACTGGCTCTCTGTCAAAAATCCTCACTGACTGACTGCAAACTGTTTGCTCAAAGACACTGTCAACGGTGACAGAATTGTCGTGAGTCCGCTCAAGCGATAATCGCTCAGGCCAGGGCTTCCTTTCTGCCAGACCTGACGATCACAGGATGGTCTCAAGAGCAGGAGTTTCAGTGGTAAGAACTGCAAGCTGGCACTGTGTGTCATCACGGCGTGTCTACAGCATCTTCTGGAACTTTTCCCTGCTGGACTTTCACATCAATGAGTCGAGTCTAACACTTAGTAACACCATTTCTTTGCGAGCGAGTGCTGCCCCGGCTGTGTGGCCAGCAAGCAGCTAAAGACACTGCCATGCTTATTATCATGTTCTTTCTGATTAGCACAGCTTTGCGTGCCAACACAGCATGATAGCACTCGAGGAGTTGGCACTGAGTGCTGGTGCGACTCATATTAGAAGTTCTAAATGTGGACACTCGACCAGCAACCACAGTCAAAGTTCCAACATCCAAATGTTCAGCCTAGCTGCGCGGTATATCTTTTAGGCTCGTTGGCAGTTGACTTATTAATGACCGATTCTCAAACAACAGTGCTTGGTTGCATGGCCGGCAGCCCAACTCTGGTCAGGGCCACGCTGATTGCAGCTGTGAACCCAAGGGCCTAAGCCTAGCTGTCAGGCTTCACAATCTGAAGCGCTTTGCCAGGAGGAATTGTGAGACTGACAGAGTTGACAACCATTGGACGGATGGGCTGAAGGCCTTTCGCGGCAACAGGCGGCCACTTCATAGCCCAGCACATCTTGATGTACTTACCGTTCCACTTTGACGCTGGCAGGGTCCCGGCCATGTGCGCTGCAGGGATCTTGGCGACATCATCCTGGCCGGCCTCAGCGCCTTCCGTTTTCCCCACCTTCGCGGGAAAATCAGAGGCTTTGAAGTACACCTGGGCCTGCTTGGGGCTGAGTGTAAATGCCGCCGGCTCCGTGGCTGAGGGCGAATCCGTCAAGGTGTGATACCCCACGTGGGCGTCACTTGGGCTCAGCGATCGCTTCGTCTTGATCGTGTCCAGGAGGCTCATGTACTTGCCGCCCAAGATGATGTAGTCCTGCGAGCCCTCCAAGGAGAACAGCACATCGGCTGGGCCAATCTCCTCTTTTTCCTTTCCCGTCGGCGCCCAGAACTTGCCCTTGTAGTAGCCAGCCAAGGTGGTCCCTTTGCGGATCGTGATGGGCTCGGCGTGCGTGTTTTGCAAGTAGGCGCCCTCGCCAACTGTGACCACGAGCATCACCGCGCTCAGGTTGCCAGATCCGACAAGGTGAGCCTCATGGTTCAGAGGATTCAAGTTGCTGGGTCCTCGGCAATGGCCGCCTTGTCACCGTCACCGTCAGTCTTGCTGCCGGATGGCAAAGCGCCCGGCACATTGATTTTTCGCTTCTTGCTCTTGCCGTCGTCTTCATTCTCAGAGCTGCGCGTCTTAGGGGGCAGGTCTAGTGGATAATCTGCACGCGTCTTCTGCAAGAACTCCCTGAACTCACCCTTGAAGCTGCTGTGGTCATGCCAGGCAGCCAAGACTTTGGCAGGCGTGGACAGGGTCTGGAGGGTGGAGCCTGGAAGCCTGGTCTTGGAGTACGCCAGCAAGGAGAGGTTGGGTGGCGGTGGCTGCGCAGCTACAAGCTCTGCGTTCCTGCAAAATGCGGTGCAGCTGGCCAATCACACGTCATCCCAATCAAACTCAAAGACTCCAAAGGAAGACCCAAAAATAATGATTTACAACCTTCTCCTTTCCGGCAGGCTGATGAACGGTTTGAAGTTGCCATTGCTGAGCTGCTCGGCCAGCTTCTCGGTGTGATGCTGCAAGGCCCAGTCCACCTGGCCATGATGCACTTGATACTTCGGCAGTGCCTCATCATTACCACCACACACGTTATGATGCACCACTGGCCCCAACACACACAACCAAATGGCTTGGACACGATTGCCCATCTGCACTTTATTACACACCTGGCCTCGCTCTGGGTGGCATGGAGCCCCAAGTAGAACAGGTTCATCCCCCCCATGCTCTGCAGGAAGTTCTCCTTGACCACAGCGCGGCCAAGGTCTCCAGTGTGAGCATTCAGATCCACCACCAGGACCACAGGCTTGGGCGCGCCAGTCAAGGAGGACAGCGCTCCACGCAGAATGCTTGTGCAGCCATCCACTCCGACCTGCGCAACCTTCTCTGCCGCGCCCTGGGTGTGTGTCAGCGACGTCGTGCTCGGCAGGGCGTCGTCAGAAATGTCCTCAACGGCGACCAAGTCTTTTCCAGACACCACCTCAGCCGCATCCAGGAGCCCTTTGCTGAGCAGAGCCGAGGACCTCCAGAACTGCCACGCTTTGGAATGCGGCTTCTCCTCCATCGAAAGCATCAGCCGCCCATGACGAATCATCGATCTGCAGGGTTCACGTTCGTTCGTTTGTTCATTCATGATTCGTTCATTCATTGATTGATTCATTCATTCATTCATTCATTCATTCATTCATTCATTCATTCATTCATTCATTCATTCATTCATCATTCATCATTCATCATTCATTCATTCATCATTCATCATTCATTCATCATTCATCATTCAGTCATTCATCATTCATCATTCATTCATTCATTCATTCATTCATTCATTCATTCATTCATTCCATTCATTCACTCATTCATTCATTCATTCATTCATTCACTCACTCATTCATTCATTCATTCATTCATTCATTCATTCATTCATATTTATTTCATTTCATTTCATTTCATTTTCATTTCATTTCATTTCATTTCATTTCACTCATTTCATTCATTCATTCAGTTCATTTCGTTTTATTTCATTTCATTTCATGTCATGTCATCTCATTTCATTCCTTCATTCGTTCCTTCATTCATTCCTTCATTCATTCATTCATTCATTCATTCATTCATTCATTCATTCATTTCTTCCATTCATTCATTCATTCTTTCATTCATTCCATTCAATCATTCTTTGATTCATTCATTCATTCATCCATTCATTCATTCATTCATTCATTCATTCATTCAGTCATTCATTCATTCATTCATTCATTCATTCATTCATTTCTTTCATTCATTCATTCATTTCATTTCATTTCATTTCATTTCATTCATTCATTCATTCATTCATTCATTCATTCATTCATTTATTTCATTCATTCATTCATTCATTCTTTGATTCATTCATTCATTCATTCATTCATTCATTCATTCATTCATTCATTCATTCATTCATTCATTCATTCATTCATTCATTCATTCATTCATTCATTCATTCATTCATTCATTCATTCATTCATTCATTCATTCATTCACACGCACTTAACCCTTTGACACGCCCACATCATGATTTGTTTCAGGCCCAGCGGGCCTTTGGTCTCTTTCATCAGCTCTGTCCATGTAAGGCAGAACGAAGGGCATATCCATGTTCAACCGGGAGTTCGCCAGGAGTTTGTTGGCTGATTCCTCCTGTTTCCAAAGAAGCCCACGATGATAGCTGTGTGCTGGAGAGAGGAGCAGGCCGATGCAGGCGCCAGTCTCCGGGGAGTGCGAGTTCACCAGGTAGCCTGCTAGGGCAGCCTGTGTGCGCTGGTTCTCGGAGCTCACCAGGGATGGCGCACTCCAGTTCAAAAGCGCCACTACGCAAATGCTGTCTTTTGCCACCTGGAAGGTCTGAGACAGGCGGCGCAGGATTCCATCGATGCGCGCCACACCGTCCTGTGGGCTGCCATGGCAAGCCAGAGTTGCCATCCACTCCCGGCTAGACTCTTGGAAGCACGCCTTGGCTTGGCGGAAAGCCTCCTGCTGCCTAGCAAGTTTGTGCTGCAGCTCAGCGTGATACACACTGGCTTCGTGATCCTCGCACTTCAGCAGCCAGTTGGCATACGCCTTGATGTCGTGCCTCAGCTTGGCAAGGGCTTGGCAAGGGTCAATTATCACGAGGCTCAGCGCTGAGTAGGCAAATGACAGCCACAATGAAACCAGCTTGCTACAGCACTCAAGGCACTCAAACATCTTCAGCATGAGCGAAAACTCCTCCCTCTCTAGCTCACCAGCCACAATGGACCTTTTCTCGGATTCAGTCCTGAACTTGCCCTCAGCACTGGCAGCATGACCTTTCATAAGCTCCTTGACCACCGTCAAACCAGCCGAGGTCCAAGAGGCGGAGCGCTCAGCCAATGCCACCTGGAGCTCCATCTCGAGGTTACGGTCCCCAGCCAGCAGCTTCTCGCTGAGAGAAGTTGCCGCAACTCCCTGCTCTGCCAAGTCGTCCTGGACAGCCTGCAGCAACTGGCACAGGTGCGCTGCTTCCTGCAAGGCCTCCTTGGAAAGCTTTGCCCGATTACCTGGCAGTAGCCGCCGGTGGGTGGCATCCACAAACCGGATCATCATCACAAAGCTCGCGGCGGTCTGAGTCAACCTCTTGCTCCAAATCTTGTCCCCCGTCTTGGTCACAGCACCCACCTGGATGGCCTTGTTGGAAAAGGCCTCCTGCAACGCAACAGATTTTGCGAGTGTGGCAGCAATAATTCATTCTAACTTTGAGAAGTAGTAGGTGGGTGGCCTGGTTTGGTAGCCTGTTATTATTTCCAGAAACAACTACCTATCACTACCCCAACTGCCGTCCTCTGCGAAGGCAGACTGTGAGCCAAACTCAGACGTGTGCTTCAGAAGCAACTCAGCCGTCCCAGGTGGTGCTGACAGCAGGAAGAGCAACGCGACGCGCTTCTGCCCAGCAAGCTGTGACTCCCTGGTAGCCTCCATGTTCCACGCCTTGATGGCAGCATCCGCTTTGAAGCCCTTGGTGCAGAGAAGGCTGAGCTTTGATAGCCATGTTGGAACATCGTGCGCTCGACGAATCGACCCTCTTGATGACAGCGCGGCATTTGCCTAAGTCCAAAGGGCATGACATCAACGACCACAACTGACAACAGGTTCAAGTCAGTCACAAAGACCCAGCGTTTTTAAATTAACTCACACACGCAAAGTACAACTTTGCAATTTGGAAGATAGGGCACGAATGCAACCCGCTTGATGTCTGTGCTCAATGTTGCGCGGCGGGCCCAAATGACCCGCATGGACTCAAACAAGGCCGGGTGCAGGATCTCCAGCTTCCACTCACACTTCATCGCCAGAGATGCCAGGAAAAGAAGGGTCATTGACCGGGCCGCCCCCTTCACATAGTGCGCCCACCCAGAAGGCCCTTCACTGGACCCCTGCGGGCCCGACCACAGAAGAATCGGGTCGCCTGGGCAGCAAGCCACTGAGCTCACAAACGCAGTATGATTATGGATCCTGCTGACCGACAAGAAAACTTTCAAGAAAACCACACGCATTAAAGTTGCTCTCAGAGATGAAGCTGTTGCACAAGTACTCATCTAGCAGGCTGATGGCCGTGGTGAGGTACGGCGCGGGCTTAGTGCTTGACTCAGGACTGAAAGACAAGTCCGACAGCTTGAGGCAAAACATGGTTGAGTCATCCGCAGGGAGTGATGTCACGAAGTTGACATCTTGCCGTGTCGTGCTGAACTCAAGGCCCAGCGTCGCAGCAAAGCTGTTGGTGTCAGGATGGGCCTGCTGAAGGTATTGCTGGGGCCCACCAAAATGGGACAGCAGCTTCTTGCCGCACTCAAAGGCGATCTGCTTGAAGTTCTCTGGTGTGGCTGTTGCTGCTTCTGAAAAAAGAGCAGCCAAAAACTCAGCCTCAGACGTGCCAGCAAGACTGGCCGTGAAGAGGTCAACCTCCATCTTTGCCAGCTCCATCTTTTCGGGGGTCCCATCCGCCTCCGACTCCCCCTTGACTCCATCTGAGCCGCTCCTAAGCGCAGCAGGTTCAACTGGCAGCGCGAGCATTGCTGGCCCTCCTGGCCCTGAAATGGAAAGCCAAAATCTACGGTGGAGAAAAAAGAATCCGCACAATCCCGATTTCACATGAGCGCACGGTCACAGCACAGCCCAAGCTGAGATTTACAATGGCTTGACAAACCACTCAGACTGGGAACCTGGCCCATGGTTGGCCAGAATGCGGATGAGGTACTTCCAGGCCTGTGCTGCAGTCTCACAGACTACTCACAGTCTCACCCAGGCAGAGCGCAATTCATCAAGATTAGGCCCAGGCCACACCAATCAGCCACTTCCTCAGTCAAATGACAGGTGACAGTCCATCAGTCAGTTTGCCCAAAACCAGGCTATGTACCCCCCCCCCAAAATGGGGGGGGGTAGATCGCTCGGTTTCGGACCAGCTTCCTGGAAACCAGGAGATCTTACCCCCCTCAATTTGGGGGGGGGGGTACATCTCCTGGTTCCGGGGTATGTGCCCAAAGATCGCTCGGTTTCGGATGAAACCAGGCTATGTCCCCCCCCCCAAAATCGGGGGGGGTACATCTCCCGGTTTTGGCAAACGCTGGCTATTACTTTCCTGCCCCAATTCTCCAAGAAAATGGGCGTGTTGAATTTAACCTTCAAGGCTGGCCAGTGACTCAGTCACACTTTTCCTCAAGCCGCCGGGAGCCATCAGAAGGCTGATTACAGGCTGACTGATTCGAGCTTTGTCACGTTCCCTTGCAATGTTGCTGCAATCTTTGCATTGCGATCTCCAGGCTGCTCAGGCTATACTCGATCAGTCAGTCCCTTGCATGGTGCAGAGCTGCAGCCGCAAGCAAGCAGCAAAACTCGGCAGTGTACTTCTGACAGTGCTTGCTAACAGGCACACCGTTATGACTGCCTTGTACGTGAAAGTGCTGGGCAGTGCATTTGCACTGACGATCCTGAAAGAGCTCTACAATCTTGTCACTGTTGGTCATTAAAGTAGTTCGTTTTTTGATCGGGTGAGTTGCCGAGCTTTCTCCCGGGGCCGCCAATCCCACAGCGCACTGGTCAAAGGAGACAAGCTTGGTCTCGGGGAGCGCTGCCATCCTCTGAACCTAAACAGCATGTGGGTTTGAATCCAAATACTTTCAAAACCCTGGCAGTGCATCATGACAGATACATCCATCTGGAAAAGGGAATCTGACTATTGCGCCTTGTGGCACACGCCTGTGTCCAGCTCGATGCTCTCCAGGGATGCTCATGACACCAAATGCGGTTCTCATGGTGCTGGATCCAAGCCATATCCATGCCGAAGGCCAAAAGGGAATCAGCTTCTGCTTGGCGCAGTTCACCTGCGCCGGCCATGCGAACATTGCAAATTGAACCTACCACTGGCTGGTTGAAGGCAAATAATTTCAAATTCAGCTGTGGCTCGGACTTCAATTGTCATCTTGTGTCTGTTCCACAGGCGCATCAGCTCAGAATACATCGTGCATGGAGCTGAGATCATCAACATGCGGGGCTTGAGCACGCGCTGGCAGCGCAGGACATGCCCCCTAGCCTGCCAAGTCAGGAGGTCGTGGCCTGACAGGAGATCAAAGGAGCCACCAGAGGTCATGTTCAGCTGCTCCACGGTCAGACCAACCCTGGGTGGACTGAAGACCTCCATGAAGTGGCACGGAAAGGAGGGGCCTGGATCATCAGAGAAGTCGCAATCATCCTCAATGGTCAAGTCCTGGTCGGCGTCCTCTGCGGCACTGCTGCTCTCACCCTCAACTGCCACGGGGGAGGTCCCGGTGTCATCACTCACCGACATGACATCGGATTCAGCGGACATTGCTGGCGCTGGGGGCGGCTATAATCAAAGTAAAGCACCATCATGCGAACGCAATGAATGGACAATGACAAGCACATGACAGGAATATGACATCACAATGCCACTGTGCCAGCCGGAGTCAGCTAAAATAGCTGCGGGTCAATGCCAAGTCTGTAATCTCAAGCCTTCTCTGCAGCAGCTGGCAACGAAAGATCTGAGACTGGAGCCCACGTGGAGGGCTGATGCCAACGACCTGGGCCGACTACGGAAAGTCACTCAAGCTGATTGATTGTGTCTGATTCAAACACAGCAGTGGACAGTGTCACAGTGCAGGTGAATGGATTGACGCATTTTTTGCACTGGCATCCTATGCCAAGTCTGTAATCTCAAGCCTTCTCTGCAGCAGCTGGCAACGAAAGATCTGAGACTGGAGCCCACGTGGAGGGCTGATGCCAACGACCTGGGCCGACTACGGAAAGTCACTCAAGCTGATTGATTGTGTCTGATTCAAACACAGCAGTGGACAGTGTCACAGTGCAGGTGAATGGACTGACGCATTTTTTGCAATGGCATCCTCAGATAACATCGGGCCCGGCGCAGTCAGGCAATAATCGGTACGTTCCAACAAGGCGCCGGTTCCATTCAAGGCGCCGTGTCACAGGGATAATGATAGTAAATAGCTCAGCGCAGCCACTGTCGCTGTGGGCAGTGCACAGTACAACAGACCACCAATCACAGGAGCAGGCATCCGGCCCTCAGACATTGACATTGACATGCAGGAAGTCTTAACCTTTTCAGAAAGCCTTTGTAAGGTTAAACGCTGCCCCAAGTTCCACACAAAAAGCATTCTCCCTGAGCCTGGTGGTTAGGCGCTGAAAGAGCAAAATTTGTCCATCACGATGCTTGTGCAAACGGAAATGAACTCACTTTGGCTTTGAACTAATTCTTTGTCCGCAAAGTTGCACAATGAGCCACGAGGTGGACACACATGATGGCATTTCACTGCGCTGCTGCGTTTTTTTTGTGAAGCAAATTGACACGACAATGTGCAACACCACTGGACTGCAGCAGCTGGCAGTGGATGATTCCCCGTCTGGGGCCGCCCGGGCTTTGAGTCAACAAGCCAAATCTGACAGATTTTTGTTGCGCACTGGCACCCAGAATGCCATCAAATGATTAAAATATATTTGCTCAACTCCAAGCCCTAGCAGCGCCTCCAAACATTGTCTACTTCCTGTAAGCTGAGGCCATTGGCAAGCCTGCACGCTTGACAGCCTATCTGCGATTTGCGGCATTTGGAGCAGCCCAAAACTACGCCCGGAGGCAACTCAACTGTGACACCTCTCTGGCCGTGCAAGATTTGAACGTCACCTCTCAGGGACACCCAGACATTAAATAAACAACGTCAATAAGAAAACATATTCAGCAACACCACGACAGTAATCACAGTTTGAGCCAACTCGGCCTGGCAGAGCTTGAGCTGGCAGATCTGGAGGCGCTGGGACTGGCTGGACTGCAGCTGCTGGACGCTTCATTGAAGCAGCTGAGGCTGGCCGCTTCATCTTCTGACCTCCGACTCCCGCCGGCCCACGTCGCCCTGGATCACTGCTAGCTGCATTTGCGTGTTCTGAGCCGGCGTCAGATGGCAAAAACAAAGCAGCAGGTCGCTTCATTGGCAGTCTTCCAGGCCGGTGTGCAGGCTGACCTTCCTGATCACTCGCCACCGAAGGAGCATCGGACGGCAGCACCATCTCAGGCTCCGATGCCTGTGACAGTGTTGGTGCCAATGCACGCGGCGCAGCCTTGGATTTTTTGGCTGCAGCTTTGGGCCCAGAGATCTTCACCTTGGCAGGCTCTTGTGTGGCCCACTTCAGAAAGTCTGCTGGCTGGGCCCGCTCAGGCATGGCAGCTGGCCCATCCTTTTTGGCAGGCGCTTCATGGATGAGTGCCCGAAGTGGTGGGCCGTCGTGCTTGTCCGGGGGCACAGTGCCTGCTTCCGCAATCAATGTCTCGATGTAGGCAGCAGCACGCTCATAGCCCCAGGGTGACTGCAGGATCTTTTGCCGGGTTTTGCGCAGCTCACGAACTGCGTCCTTCCCCAGCTCATTCAAAGGCACATTTGCCTGGGGCCAGCCCGATGCAACCAACTGGCTCATCATCGCATGCGGGACAAACACCAGCGCCTGCTGGTACTCCACATCCTGCATGTGTGCCTTGACCAAAAGGCAAATGTCCAAGGGGTGGGCCTCCTCCTGGAACACGGACTCAAGTAGAGGCACGTTCGGGTCCTCAAGGCACCTGACAAGGGCAAGTCGGACTAAGTCAGCACCGAAGACCAAGCATGCACAATTTCATTCTGACAAGGCCATTAGTTGTTTTGCAATGAAACACAACACCTGTCCATGTTTGCATGTTTGACAACCCAGCTGCCAACTCACTGGCCTTTGCCGCACCCTCAGTGTGAATGACAAGCGTGCTGTCCGGCACGAAGCTTGGCTTGTGTCGAAGTGTGCCCATGAACTTGCAAGGGCAGCTGCTCAAGCCAGGCTTTGAAGTTCCACTGGCTGCTCAGGGTCTCTGCTTGAAGGACACGGCCCTCTCGTGGGCGCACCTCCAAAAAAGAGTTTGTTCTGGCAAGAACACTTACAGCCTAGTTGAACGGCAGGCTTGGCTTGGAAAAAATAAGCTGGGCGGACCGACATAATTTCAACTTTGGCCCTCAGAACCTGGTTGATGATACGCAAAAAGTCCTCTGGGTGCTGCAGGACATCACTAGCAAACAAGTGGTGTCGCACCTCCGAAAACCGCTGATCTGGGAGACCATGTGAGTGTCCAGCCCGAAAGTATGTGAATACGAAGTCATCAAAGATGGCGCAGAAGACGAGGAAGGCGCCATACTTGAACGACGTCTGATTTTTCGTCTCAGCAGATGCGTTGTCTGCATGTACACGGCAGTTCCTTGGGAAGGCCACGCCGCGCTTCAGCGTTTCTTGCAAGGCAGCCTCAATGCAGTGGGTGATGATGGTGAGGTCCTTGTTGGCAGTTGTGCCGACTGTGGGGTCGCTGAGGAAGAACCGCTCTACCTGCCCATCCACCACCGCCAGCGTAAGCTTCAGCTCTGGGCGATGCATGGCCTGGAACTCCTTGGACTTGCAGACGTTCAAGGGCACCTTAAACTTGCTGATGTCCATGGCATCCACCGTGATGCCCAGCCACGAGCTCTGCGAGCTGCAATCCAGCGCTGAGTGACCCGAGGTCATGCTCAGCACAGCTGCTTGGCGCCAGAGGGCATCGGCGCGCCGATCACGCATCACCGCGTCCAGGTGCTGCACATACGCCGCCGCCACCATCTCTGAGTCTGATGTCGTCGCCGCCTCGCGCTTGAACGCCTTGAAGCGCTCACACGCATTGCACTTTGCATGCTGAGATTCCCCTCGGAACCGGAGCTTCTCCTTAAAGTCCTTGTGGAACACCCGCACCCAGGTTCTGTAGCTCGGGGCCACCAAGTGAGGCAAAAAAGATTTTGCAACCTGCAGCAATTCACTCAGAGCTGTGCCTGGGTGCAAATGCCGTGTCTCAGACGGCAACTCCGGCGATCCCATCTGTGACGGAGCAAGCAGGGCCTTCGCCTTCACCCCAATGTCCAGCTGCAGCACAGGGATGTTGGCTTCAGCAAGGGGCTCAGCCAGGAACTCATGCACCCAAGCCCACATTGTAAAGGCACTCGTGACCGCAATGTGCTCAGCGGGGGGTCGGGCCACGGTTAAACCTCAGGTCCAGCGGCGGGTGTTTGTGGCCAGCAGCCAGCCACTGAGAAAAGGTCGTCACCTTGTTCTTGCTCATGGTCAGGACGCTGGCCAGGGCGTTGCGGCAGGCAGCAAACCCGAAGATGTTGAAGCGGCGGTGGCTGTCATGCTTCTCGCAATCCAAGAACTGCTTCATGAGCTCGAATTTCAGCTCTGACACCCGCAGCTTGGTCTCGCCTTGGAAAGCCATCTGAATCTCCTGAACCCGGAGCGCAGCCCCTTTGTCCTCTTTGATCGTCTCCAAGCACTCGTGCTGACAGCACCCGCACTCACCTGGCAGGCCACCGTCACCACCGCCACCACCGCCACCGGCCACTTCGCCCATCTGCACCTCCTGCACAGACTCCGGGTCACTGGGCAAGCTGATTTCATCCTCAGAGGCCTCCACATTGAGACTTTCAGCAGACCCTGATGCCGCTGCCATTGCTCACGCACAAGGCCGACAGGCCATAGATTTTGTCAACCACCAGGCACTGTTCCAGCCCTCATGCCAACTTAGTGTCTCTAATGGCACATTACATTCCTAAGCCTGGTTGTAAATGAACCAATTGCCAGCTCCATGCCGCTGCCACGTTGCACATCTAATCCAGAGCCAGCTTTGAAAGTCAAGTAAATTTCAATGTGCGCACATCAGGCATGAAACAGGGCGTCACCACACGATGGGCCTGCCGAGTCCCGCACCATTCAGCCCGCTGTTGAAGACAATGACTAACTTGTAAATGAGTCCTGAGCGAGCGGGAGCTAAAACCAAGTCCTGGAGGCCAGGACTTGGCAACCCAATCCCCTTGGAAACAGCCAGGGCTTGGAAATGAGCTTCACACTGAAGACCCAACAACAACATGGTCTATTGTCTGAGAAGTCTGGTCACACAGTCTAGCAACTGGCAAAGCAGTCAATGTGACTGTCCACAATCACAACAGCAGTTTGGTCTTTAACAGAAAGCAGCACTCTGGGCCACAGACTCAGTCTATTATTGTCTGTCTATGTCTATGACTTGCCTGGCATGACACACTCATCGCCAGCAGCAAGTCAGGCGCCGGACACACCATGTACTTCTCAGACCTGAGGCAAGGCTAGCCACCAATGCAGCTCAGAATGCTCACGGAAAGCAAATGCAAATACAGCGCTTCCACTTTCACAGCCCCATGAAAAATTGTTTCAATCTGGAAGATCCGGGCCAGCTGTCTGGATTGCCAAACCAAGGTGAAAGCCAAGTCCTGGAAGTCCAGAACTTGGCTGCCAAGTCCTGGACAGCCAGGACTTGGAACCTAAGTGCCCAGGGCCTGAACAATGCTTTTGCCCGCTGGCAGAAGCAAATGCAGCCCAGGGTGGACTCGAACCACCATGTTCTAGCCTGAAGTGTTCCACAGTAGCTTCCCCACTCAGGACTAGACGCCTTCCCCATTAGGCAACTGGGCCAGCTATCGTAACAGAGCCAATATTATACCTTATTTTGAGCGCCACCTGGGGCAAGCACGCGGCAGCCAGATGACCACGGGAGCCTGGCGCACACGCAAAAGAGACACGCATTCAATGATCCAACACCTTTGAGCAGACATGTCGTGAAACATGACGGCAAGAAAGCGGGAGCCAACCGAAAGTCCTGGAGGGCCGGGACAGGGACTTGGCAACCCAAGCCCTGGATAGTAAGTTCTTTAAGCCAGGGCTTGGAGCTGAGCTTCGCACTGAAGACCCACCGTCTCTGTTCGGTCACACTGTCTGGCAAAGGAATGTGACACAGCATTAGTTCCGCAGTTTGACAGAAGGCAGCATAGCGCTCTGGGCCGCAGACCCAGTCTATTAGTCCTGCCTGGCATGACGCACACGGTCATAATAACTCATCACCAGCAGCAAGTCAGGCACCGGACCCACCACGTACTTGAGGACAATGATTAATGGTGCCAGACCTGAGGCAAGGCTAAGCCACCAATGCAGCTCAGCATGCTCACGTAAAGCTAAATGCAATGTTTTTCTTGGGCGGCTGCTCAGGGGTCCCGTGCAAAATCGTTTCCATTTGGTGATGACTGGCTAATCAAGATCTGGGCCACTCCACAGCTGTTTGGATTGCCAAACTCCTGAGTAAATCAAGGTGAAAGCCAAGTCCTGGAGTCCAGGACTTGGCTGCCCAAGTCCTGGACAGCCAGGACTTGGAACCTAAGTGCCCAGGCCTGAAAACACAGATTTAAAGGTCATGGCCAGTGGTGAGTACCGAGCACCACCTGGGGCAAGCACGTGCTGCAGCCAGATGACCACGGGAGCCTGGCGCAGACAATGACAACTCAAGTCAAACTTCAACTGGCCGCAGGCTTTTGCTAAGCTTAGCACTTCATGTTGCTCAAAAGCCAAAGTGCTTGTTTTCCAACCCGAAGCACAAAACAGCAAGACATGGAAATAAAACCATTGGATCTGAGCAACTGACTGCAGGGCTATTTGCGCTGGACCGGCCTGGGCGCACAAGACCATGAATGTCAGCAATCACTTGCATGCATTCTTTGGCTCTACATTCGTGAAGGAGAGCACACACAAAAATGAGCACAGCAATATTGACAGAGCGGCTCCCTGTTTTCCTTCCTGGTGTCGGCTCATCAGGACAAAACGTCGCAGCCACATGGCGGGCCTTCCAGCCACAATTCCAGAGTGTTACTTGCTGGAACAATGTAGCACACAGAAGTTTGATGCGAGTCATGGTGCAGTGCAGGGTGCACTGTGCAAGGGTGGCTGGAATTGCCCAACCTGGTCTGGCCCAGGTTTCATTGAATTATTGGCCTTAGCCTGGAACCCTCCGGGAATGACATGAGCGCAGCAAGATTGAGCGGCTCCCTTGAGCGGAGTCGGCTCGGAAAAAACGTCGCAGCCACATGGCGGGCCTTCCAGCCACTTACAGACAGAGTTTCTTGCTGCAACAATGTGACACGCAAAAGTTTAATGCCAGTCATGGTGCAGATCAGTGCTGTCATTGTCATTCAAGGGTGGCTGGAATGGCCGCAACCTGGTCATTGACATGACCTGGCCAGAAGCCTCAAAAAACACAGGCTGACACACTTGGTTGCTTATTTGGTTTTTTATTTGTTTGGGTGGGGTGTGCTGCAGCACACTGGGATTCTCAGCCCTGAAAGAGGGAGACCAGGTCATGTCCTGTGCTCAGAGCCCCTGATAACCACCATCACCGCCTTCAGGAAGTGGTCGAACTGCTTGTCCACATACAGGGCCTCCTTGCCCTTGCTTATGTTCATGTGGCCAAGGGCGGCCAGGAGCGCGCAGCATAGCGCCTTTGTTGTTGCAGAATCAATTGGGCCCTCAACGCATGTTTCATTTACGCGCACCAAAGAAAAACACACTGGGCATTCATCATAACCAAAACGCTGATGGGTTGCTGGGGATCTGTGGACCCCGCCATTGCAGTGGATGAACACCAGCCTGGACTTCTGCACCTTGTCCAACACGTCCTGCCACCTGGGCATTTGACCAGGGCTTGTGGAAGTGGTAAGTCCATTCAACTCCCGTGTTTGTTCACGGGCATAGCAAAAATGTTACTCACAGCCAAGGCAAGCTTCAGCGATGTCTTGAATTGCGCGTCCTTGTGGCGAAGAATCCAGTTGGGGTTCGCAGTGACCGCTTGAAGATGCTGGGGCCTGGTCTTGAGCAGGGCATTGGCTTGCCTTGGTCGAGGAAAACAAAGCAAAGTAGTAGGCCCCTACAACTTCAGCCCATTTAGCTAAACATTGCACACTTGCTATAAGGCAAAATCAACAGAAAGTGTTGCAATCTGTGAGGCCCCAGGAACTTCTGACCCTGGCAGTTCACCACCAAGCCTGGGAAGTCCCGGAGTACCGTGTACGCGCTCGGGGCTCCGCCGACAAACACTGCCCTTCCCTCAAAGAACAGTGGCCGCAAGTTGCGGACGCCCGTCTCCACGAGGCGTGAGTACCACTCCCATGCCTCTCCTTCTTCGTCCACCACCTGGACCTCCTCAACTTTCTCCTCGTCCTTCTGCTCGTCGTCCTCCACCAACTTCTCCTTCACATTGCGCCACTCCCACTCCTCCTCGGCCTCCTCCTGAGGCTCTGCCGCCCATTCGCCCTCATCCACGGCCTGGTCCGCCTCGTCATAGTCCTCCGCCCGCTCGTCATAGGGCTCCTCATACTCTTCCTCCACGGCCACTTCGGATTCGGCGGCCTCGGACTCGTCGTGCTGCTCGTCGTCAGGAGCCTGATCATCTTCATCATAATAGTGCTCCTCCAGCTCTTCCTTCTTAAGCGCTCGGGCCAACGTCGGGCTGGCACGTGTTGAGGCTGATCTGGCTGGAGAATTGGCTGGGGATGATCCCCTGGCTGAGGATGGCCTGGCTGAGGATGGCCTGGCTACTAAGGGTCGTGGCGCAATGCCTTCCGACGCCCCTTCAGTCTTAGCCTTGTGCAGCTGCACGCGCTTGGCATCCCGCAGCACAGCAAGAAGGCAATACATTTTGCATTACTTTCAGGCCGCGACACAATGGCATTCTAAACTTGAGTTGGCGTCATTTCAAAAGGAATAATAATAGCATACTAAACAATGATGGCCAAGGCACACGCCTGAAGTCTGCCGGCGACTTCCGCTTGAAGCCCTTCGGCTTATCTCCAAAGCCGCCACCGAAGTTGCAGCCGCTGAAGGTACAGCCACTGAAGCTCATTGGTCTGACACCGAAGCCTGCGAAGCAGCCGGCGCAGTGACTCTGAAGCCCATGGGGCACACGCGGACCTGAAGTTTGAAATTTGGGTGCCTAAAGTGTGCGTGTGCTGGCAGTTGGTGTGCGTTTGGTGCCTGGCTGTTGGTGTGCAACTTGTCAGTTGAATGCACCATATTGTATCAATGGCCACCGCCCCCTTGGCTGCAGGTGAGAGAGCCACATGCGCCAAGTAGTGAAGGAGCACACAGCTGGAGAAATGTCTGACAAGAGGTGATTGTGGCACATGTCACTTCAAACTCTGGCTGGCTGAATAGCAATGAGGTTCAGGCCCACTGAGCATGAAGAGCGCCAACGCCAAGCCAGCGTCAGCTGCAGCCTGAGCGAGCACATGAATGCTGCAACTCGAAAAAATGAGTGCAGCTGAGCACAGTGCCCACTCTAACTGACTCCCTTGCCGAAAAGCTTGACGGAGGCATGGGCTTGACATGAGAACCAGGCTGCCACAGAGATGAACAAGTATGTCTGCATGTGCAATAAAAGAGCCCTGACAGGAATGAGACCCTTCCAAAGAGAATTGCAGGCGGGCAGCAGAGTGAGAAACAAGAGCTGTGGACAGCAGACAGAACAAGGCAAAGACACTCGAAACGAAATCTGCCCAATGCCAAGCCAAAGAACGGCAGCCCAGACTGCGGGCAGCCAGCAATCACAAGCTGCAGCGAGAACCGCGCAATAATGGCTTGTTATTCTTTTCCAACCCC